CCATTTCGAAGAAATGTGGCTGACTCGGGCCAGCTTTATTTCAGGCAATTTCATGATCAAACGTCCTATTAGGTTGTTTAAAATTTTTATAGAGATTGTAAATCAGAACTGTTTTCTATTTTCCCTAAATATGTAGGTGCTACAGGGAAAGCAGATCAAATTAAAGGGTATTGTGTGCATTTTTTTTACTGGGGTCTCGCAGGGATATAAATCATTCCACTTGCACCACGGAGCTCTTCAGTAACACATGTTTGCAAAATCATCTGGTGCTTCTCCAGTGCCCTCATGAAAGGGATGCTTTAGGTTACAACAGCAGTGCCCAGTTCTTCTTCAAATCAGGGACCACGTGCCAAGATTCAAAGAAAACTCAAAGTTTCCCCAGACATCCTAGAGGAAGAAGTTTTGAGCTACTTTATTCCATTGCTTCAGCCCCAACTAACACCGTGGGACAAGAATCAGAAGACAGGAGAAACAAAGATCTGTAGACGTGCTGGAAGGAATCTGTCTTTCTTTTTAGAAACAGAGGGTCAATATCCATCAAACTTTAAGGTGCGTATCCCTCAATCTAGCAATTTCTGTTTAGAGGTTTAACCTACAGATAGACTCACACATGGGCATAAAGACTGATGTTCCAGGATGTTTAATGCAGCCTTGGTTACAGTAGTAAAGGATTGGAAACAATCCAAATGCCTTTCAACATGGCTCTGATTAAATAAATTATGGCACAGCCTCACAATGGAAAGCGATGTAACAGTGAAACAGAATGAGATGGTTCTAGCTAAACTGAAATGGAATTACCTCTAAAATATGCTGTTAAATAGGAAAAAAGGGATGGCACAGGGGAACAAGCATGGTAGTATGCCATTTTGTATTTTTTAAATGTATGCAAATATTTGGTTGTACACACAGAAAATATCAAAAAAAACCCACAGAATTTGCCTCTGTGGAGGGAAAGGGGGGCCAGCCTTATTTCAACTGTTATGTCTTTTAGTACTCCTTATTTTTAGCACTGCTTTTTAAAGCTCTTACCGTGTATGCATATGTAATTTCTGAAGTAAAGTTTTAAACAAAAATAAATGCGATGCCTTACATTAAATCTAACAAGAAACAAAAGATTTCTTGAAAAAAAAATAGTAAAACTATTCAGACATATTTGAAGAAGTACACAATTTCTTTGGGTGGTGTGATAGATTGAGTTTTATTTTCCAAATCTTCACTCCATCCTTGAGAATGGGCTACCCTGTATATTTCAGGCTACAGGCGACATTCTTTTACAAAAGGTGCAGAACCAGCATGACTGAGCACAGGAAACAGAGCCCAGGGTTGGAGCTAAAAGAGCACATCTAGTCCACTCATAAGCCTGCACTTAGCTGGTCTGGCTGAACGGCTGGCTGGCTGGCTAGCTGGTCTCGGATGACCTCAGCTAAGACAGTGTGTCTCTGATCCAAGTGGGCTCCTATCATCCAGCAGGTTAGCTCGGGCTTGTGCACATGATGGCTGAGCAGAAGTCCGAGGGGTTGGATGAAAGTGTGCAAGGCCTCTGGAGGCCTACGCCTGAAACTGACACAATGCCACTTCCATCACATTGTATTGACCAAAGCAAGTCACAGGTCTGGCCTGGATTGGAGTGGGGACAGAGACTCAATCGCTAAACAGAAGAGGCTACGAAGTCACATTGCAAGACAATATGCCTACAGGAAGGGGAGTCATTGTAGCCATTGTTACAAGCAGTTTTCCAAAGAACTGTAGTCTTTATTCTGTGTGTGTGGCAGGGGCAGTGAAGACCCAGCTAAAAATTAGGGATTCTACTACTGTGGACGTAAAGGGGAACAAATACTGGGGGACAGCCTGCATCCTCTAAGCCCAGTTCCAAATGCACTTCCTCCCCCTGGGAGCCTTCGCTGAATCATCGGCTAGAATTCCGACCCCTACGGCTTTTTCCCTGTATGTTTCATGGTCCTTGCATGACTACCTGGGGGGATGCTGGCCCGTCAGTGTCTGTGCGGAGTGACAGAAGGGGAGCCCTCAGTCACCTTTGAAGCCACCGTGAGCTTGGATGCCATCTTCACTGAGATACCAACACTTCTGTTGAAACAAGTGCCTTTATTATTTGAAAGTAACAAAGCTCTTGTTTAAACAGCGGGAGTATGGGATTTTTACTCTTGTTTTCAACAGACTCATAAGAGATACAAAGAATCCACGTGATCCAAGGACAATAGGTCAAATACTAAAATCTGGAAGACATCCCCTGGCACCCAGCGCATAAATAGACATACACACTCCTCATCAGAGAGGGCATTGGAACCAGTCCATGGATTCGTTGGCATTTTCTTTCTCCCTTTGTAATTTTTTTTTCTCTCGGTATGACTGGAATATAAATCAGTAGCCTGGAGTCTTTCTGGTTAACAAGGTTCTCATTTGGGAGGGTGCAGCCTAGGAGGCCATTAAAAAGAGAAAGAAAAGCTTCTTCTATAAGCATTTCCTGCCAGCTGCTGAGGGCTGGAGGGGAGGGAGGGCGGCAGGGTGACAGCCCAGAACAGGACCATGAAGGCAAGAAAGTCTGTAAAGAGTGAGAATTCTTGGTCCATGTCTCTGGCAGACGATGCATGAATAGAAGCCCACTGTGTAAAAAGAAGATCCCCGGAGGAGGAAGGACAAGGGGGAAGAGAACCTTCCACTGATCCAAATGGGCCACTGCTGTCCGAAGTGCAGCAGGAAATTGAAGTCCCTGCAGGTGCTTGCAAAGCGTTTAAAACTAAACACCTGGACTTTAAAAGCTGGAAGAGGGGTGGCCTCAGGCCTCGGCATCCTCCGTCTACTCCTAGAAGAAGAAGAAGAGCTTACATTTGCTGGGCTGTCACTATGTGCCAGCACCACGCGAAGCATCTTACATGCACTAGTTATCTCAGTTAACCTTCGCCACAGCTCCACGAGGCTGGAGCTATTATTATCCTCACGTTCCCAGTGGGCCTGGGGATGCTCCTAATTTGTCCAAGGTCATTTGGTTCACCAGCAGAAGAGCTAGAGTCTGCACCCAGTTTCTCTGCCTGCATAGACAAGACTCTTGGACCTCTGCACCGTCCTGCCCTTTTACACCGTGACAGAGTGAAAGAGGAAGTAAGGCAGATGGTATCATAGAATCATCTGTCCCCGAGATGATCCGGCGGTGGAGACAGTCCCCTTCATGGAAGAGCCCCCGCACTCTGGGAAAAGACACCGGAGAAGCTACATGTAAGGATTAAGCAGCAACACCAACAATCATAAAAGGAGTAATTATATTGTGCCAGGCATATACATATTACATATTATATATTATCTCACTTAATTCTCTGACATAAGAATTGTTGTTCCCATTTTAGAGATAAGAAATGTTAAGTCCCATGTCCGGGATCTCACAGCCAAGGAGCAGCAGAGCTAGAATTCAAACACAAATTTGAAGCCAAAGAGCAAGACCGTTTCCAGACCCCAGGTGCATCTCTAAGTAAGTGGGTGATGTAGTCACTGCTTTATTTATCTCTCAAATATCTTTCTAAAATTTATCTTTCAAATCTTTCAAATAACTTTATCTTTCAAATATTCACTTTGGGGACTTTTTAAAATTTCTGAGATGGGGAGGGGCTAGAAAGAAATCCTTTCTGTTTCTGTTTGACTACAGGAGAACAGATGCTGAGATGAGGAGGACGTCAGGAAGGGAGTGGATTGGAGGGACAATGTGAGAAATGTACACAGTCTCCGTCTAGGCACTTAGATCTGACGTCTTTGATGGAAGTTGGTCTGTGAGTGGGTGAGATGGGAGGCGGGCCAGGGTTGAAAGGGGGAGAATACAGAAAAGAAGAGGCAAGAGTGGAGCTAAGGAGAAGGGTGGAGCCATGACCACGTGTGGATGGCTGGGGGATGCAGGTCTCTGAGGCATCGGGGTGGTGTAATGATGGTCAAGACCTGGGACACTGGGCTCAGACTGCCTGGATGCAAACCCCAGCTCCTTCCCCTATGACTCTAATTATCTTAAAGCCCTCTGCCTCGCTGACATTTGCTTTCCTGGTCAGTAAAAGAGGGATAATTACCATTCCCTCTCATAGAGTTGTTGTGAGGATTAAGTGAGGAAATGAAAGTAAGTGCTTGGCAAGGTGCCTGGCTCCACGATCAGTACATGGTGATTATTTCTATAATGCATCCTCAGGGCTCCGCTAAACCTGGGGTTGAAACAGGGAGGAGTAAAGTTCACGGTAGTGATACGAATAATAATAATAATAATGTATTCTTGTATGTGAGACAGGAAGGAAGAGGGGCAGGGCACAGCCATTCAAGGAATGACACAGCAATTAACACCAAGATGGTGGAGATTCAACTCTCAATAGACCTTGAGGTCCAAGACAGTGGGAGATTTGACTTCCAGTAAACCTCGAGCTTCATTATACGCTCATTGTAATACATTAGCATACAAAATGGCATGCCCACGGGCAACAGGACAGGGCCAAGGCTGACCATAAAAGGTCAAAAAGTGGGCAGTGGCTCAGTTCCTGGGAATCCCAGCCCCTTCCCCAAAGTAGTTGGAATAACCCTCCCACTTGTTAGCATATGAAGTTACCGAGCCGTAAAAGCTAACACCCCCCTACACCTTGTCGCCCACTCTCCCTTCTGAGTGAGACGGCCCGCACTCTGTCTATGGAGAGTGTAACTTACTTTAAACTGAGCACCCAACCCCATAGCTCATGGCCTTTCTCTTGCTTTCTGAGACAGCCTATACTCTGTCTATGGAGTGTGTATCTCTCTGAATGAATCTACCTTTACTCAACTGTGGCTCACTCTTGAATTCTTTCCTGAGCCAAGCCAAGGACCCACACTTGGCGAGGCACATCCCAGAGACTCAGTTGAGACCTGGGACGTGGCCATCCCCTCATCCCACATTTTCCTGTATCGTATGTATTAGTCACCTATTGCTGCCTAACAAGCGACCCCCAAACTTAACAACTGAAAACAATAAACAGTTATTATCTCACAGGTTTTGTGGATCAGGATTCTGGGTTTAACTTTTCTGGATGCCTCTGGCTCAAGATCTCTCATGAAACTGCAGTTAAGCTGTCAGACTCCATGGTCCCATTTGAAGGTTCAACTGGGGGCTCTTCTTCCAGGCACCTTTATGTGACAGTTGGTGGGCTTTGAGCCCTCGCGACCTGGACCTCTCCACAGGACTGATTCATGATACAGCAGCTGGCTTCCTACAGGACAAAAAAAATCTAAGAAAGAGCATCCAAGAGAGAAGTAATAGTTTTTAATAACTTAATCTCAGAAATGACAGCTCATCACTTCTGCCATATTCAATTAATTACAAGTAAATCAGTAAGTCCAGCCCACCCTATAGGGGAGGATGTTTCACAAGGGCACGAACATCAGGAGGTGAGGGTAACAAGAGGCCACCACATTGGGACACCTGCCACCTACTGTTTTCACAATCAGGTCACAAGAACCTTCAGTCATCATATCACCTAATCTCTTAACATATGACCTGCTTTCACACTAAAAATGATGGTGTGAATTAAGTTCTCCATCACTCTCAAGAATGTGGAATCAAGCTAAAATTGTGATTTTCAAGCTTTTCGGTGACAGATATTTTCCCCAAATAAAATCTTCTTCGAGAGATGGATGGGTAAACATTTTGTTTCATGTTCGTAAAATCAAATATGACTCAGCCAAAATCTAAAAACAGAAAAGAAGTACTGATACACACAAGAACACAGGTGAGCAGTCAAAGCATTATTCTGAACAAAAGACACCTAACCCAGGAGTACATACAATATGATTGCATTTGTAGGAAACTCTAGGAAAGAAAAATACAATGTATTGTGATAGGTATAGATCAGTGGTTCCCCGGGACCAGGGGTGGATGTTAAGAATTACGTGGGAAGAGGAGCGAAGGAATCTTTGTGGTGATAGAAATGTTCTGTAGCCTCATTGTTAAATCTTATTAGCCTATACTCTTAAAATGGGTATTGGTGATTATAAATTGTATCTCATAGAACTGAAAAATATTGACTGACCTGATCGCAATAAGGATGCGTATCTATCCTGTTATAAAAAACCAATGAGAGGGCTACGGATAGTCAATGCTCACGATGTATACTGAACCACAGAGGACGATTAATTCAATGCTGGGCACCTGCTCTCCCAGTGGAGGACAGGCAAGGACTCAGTCTTTCCACATGGTGCCGTGTAAAACCACCACACATACTCCTTTTATACCGGCCATAAAAATCTGCCTTCATTCTCATGGTTTCTGGAGTAACTGGTGCCTCTGCAAAGGAAAGATACTTTTCTTCTACCCCTTTCTCTTTCCATCTCCTTCTCTCTCTCTCTCTCTCCTCTTCGTCCTCACTCCCTTTTCCCCTTTATCTCTGCCACCCCTTCCCCACTTCCTTCCTTCTTTTCACTTTCTATACATCAAATCAGACCCGAGTGACTGTTCTGCAGGTTTTCTCCCGCTTTGTTTCTCTTGGACAACATTCTAGACCGATCTGCCTTACGCTTTTTAATGGCTACGTTGCATTTTGTTGTATGGATATTCTAAGGTGCATTTAGCAAGTACTCTGTGGATAGAAATTTACACTGTTTCCAGCTCAGGCTATTTTTTCACCCTTTCTAAGTTGTTTTATTGTCATAATTGTTTGAGACAAGAAGGAATATCTCCCACTGGTAAAGAGATGCCACTGCCCCCTTAGAAAAGTCCAGCATCCATCCCAGTTGACAGGGTATGCGTATTACTCATCCTGGGCACAGTCGTGCTGCAGGCACCACTGAAACTTTTTTTCTCAGGATCCATGGAGATGGAAGCAGCCTATCTGGCCCTCCTGGGATGAACTTCTAACACCCAAGTAAACTTCCCAGAAGTGAGAACCCAGCAAACATCTTGAACATCTCTGAAGGCTGTGAAAATAAATTGCACTTGAGCTGTTATTAACACATGATAACTCATTAAAACCAACTAATTATCAATAAGCAGCAGGTTCCTTTCACACTCCACATGAATTAGCTCCATTCCAAAATGATGGCTAAATTAAATCCAGAGAGTCAGCCAATGGCCTCTTCCTATAGCCTTGCACATTCTTTGGGCTATTTAATTCCCCATTCTTCATCAATTGCTTGGGAAAATAAATGAGCAGGTGATACACTTCCTCTACTTGATATGCAAGACTTTCTGTGAAATATGATGGTAACAATGTTGATAATAATAATGGCCAATGCACAGTGAACCACTTCCTATAGGCTACATGCCTTACACAGATGATCCCATTGAATTTTACTAATATAATGTGAAAATAGGCACAAAGAATGTAAACAAAGAGTGATCGTAGCCCAATATGATGCAG